TCATGAAAAATCTCTGTTTATTGAACTACTGAGGCATTAACTTAGATTTGAAGGGGGAGGGTGTGGAATAAAAAAACCCAAACACATGGTTGTCAAAGTCTTTGAGTGCCCCTGAATCAGGCTGGGATTAGTTATGTCTCTTTACATCCCTGTACTCTCCTGTGGGCTGGGTGCACAACTGTAACTGTGTTTTCCAATATGCATGTCCCTGGTGTACCATGGGAGAGAAAATCCTGGCTTTCTGGTTTGTGGAAGGGTCTTACAAACCAACAGAATGTCTCATTAGTTGGCATAATGATATGCTGTAATCCATAAAGCTCTGTTTTAGGCAACATATACATAGGTACTTAAATTTTTTGCCTGAGCATAAATATATTTCCATGGAGGAGGAAGCCTTTTTGGAGGCACTTCAGCTAAAAATCTGAACGTGCTGGATGATTGCTGCTGATTCGTGCAGGCTCCAAGGCTGGTGGAGAGTTGGTCTTATGGAAGTCTGAGTTGTGGCAGGTGTTTTGAGCTGTGCATGGCTTGCTTTGCTTGTCATGTGGACAGTGCATGTCACAGAGGTCCCTTTAATTTTGACTGTTCAGGTAGAAATTACAGGAACATACAATTCTGCAGGTGATTCATTCATCAGGCTGGTTCCACCCTGAACAGTATGGAAGTAGAATAGTGAAACCATTTAAAATTGCCAACCAAACACAGTCTACTGACTGGTCATGAATAAAAATGCTCTGGTCTGTTATACCAGCTATTTAGGTAGGTAAAGTGCAGGTAGTCTGGCAAAATATCCAGGCAGATGGCCCTGCTTTGGTTTAAATAAAAAAAAAATAATCTCTGAGGGCTTTAAAATCAATTGTGACCAGTAAGTCTAATTTCTGTATCTTACCCAGAGGCCTGAATACTGAATCTTCCTCTCATTTCCAAAAATTTGCCTGTGAAGCACTGACCACCTGCCCTCTCCTCTGGTGGTTTAGGGGGTGATAAATATCCCAGTGAGAGAGAATAAATTCAAGAATACCCTGAGGCTCTGGAACTTGAGCTCTGGTCTTCTCCTTGCAAAATATGGTCCCACGCAGAGGCAAAGATGTTGGATAAAACCTCCCCTGAAACTGGAACACGGAGGTGGGTGCATATTTCATGACAGACTGTTTTAACTTCCCAACCAGTCGCCTCTTTTATGGCCAGCAGCTACTATTAATTATTAATCAGAACACTTATTAATACACTAAGAGCTAAATGCAACCCTTTCAGTGGATGCCTGGCAGAGTGTGGGGCGGAATAAGTAGCTGTGGATGGTCCTGCAGGGGGGGAGGTTTTGCACAGTTCTGCTCAGGGAAGAGTCCGTTCATGTTCTTCTCTCTGCTGTGTGTCTGATGATGATATTTCTGTTTGGGGGATGAAGACCCAGCCATCATTAAAAGTCTGCAGCTGTGGGTGCATCAGCCTGCTTTCCCTTGGTCAGTTCTTACCTCATCAGCTTCCAAGGAGGAAGAGGGAATCCCTTCCTCTTTGCTTCCCTCCTCATGAAACAAGCCCCCCCTGCCCTGGCTTCTGCTTCTGTGTTTGCTCTGGCTCTGAAAACCCATCCTGACAGCAGAGGAGAGAGGGTTCATTTGCTCACCTAGGGAGAGCAGTTGTGACCCCTCCTGTAGCCAGAGGGAAGGAAATGAGTTGAAATACTTCTCTATTCCTTTTGGAATTGAGTTTAAATCATCTCATGGCCATAAGTGACTTCTGGTGCCAAGGAGTTTTCCTCATCAAACACTGTCATGGTTTCTACACTGATGTGCTGTTGCCATGTAATTCTGGTGGCATCACTGTTTGGGTAAAATATTATTATTTTTCTATTGCAGCTGTTAGTTTCAGAAGAATCTGTGATTCCATTGTAATTATTCCTGACAGTAGTTGTAATAAATGTTTTGGATTGATGTGAATGATTTTCATTTCTTCCAGCACCCGATTCTTTTAATAGCTCAATTTTTCTAATTTAAATGTTGACATAGATGGAGAATTAATTCTGTATTTCTCTCTAACACTCCTCTGGGTGGCTTACCTTCCTGAAGAGCATTGCTTTAACATCTTAGTAGGACTTGTTGCAGTGATATGAGCCTTCTTCAGCCTATCTCAAAATGTGGGACAGGACACTTTGATTAGTGCCCCATGCAATTTCCAGCACAGAGACCCTGCTTCTCCCATAGTCCAGCCCCTCAACCTGCTCCAATGGTCCTCAACTGCTTCCCAGGCCTGAGAACAAGGGATCTGCTGGACTGCCACCTTACACTGTACTCCTTAACACCTGCAAATTGTTTCAAACCCAAGCTCCCCTCACCAAATGTGGAGAGCCCTTGGCTCACCTTAAGCTCAGTGCCCTGCTCCTGCCATGAGTCCCCAGGCTGGGGAAATTGCAGTTTTCTGCACAATTCCAAGTGAGCCTTTCCTTCAGCCATCCAGGCCCCAGCTTGCAATGCTTTGCTGCCCTTAGTCCAAGGTTTGCTTTGTTCAGAAAAGCCAATTTCACAGGTATGGAAAGCAGGTCCTTGGATGCAGCTTTGAAGCTGAAGAGAGGCGTCCCTGTCCATGACAGGGGAGTTGGAACTAAATGATCTTTAGGGTCCCTCCCAACCCAAACCACTCTGTGGTTCTGTGATCATGAAAGCTTTGCAAAGCAAACACCTGATGGAAGCAAACATCAGTGCATATGTGCAGCTGAAACTCAGCCAGCCCTATGGTCAGAGGGACAATCAAACCAAAATTGTTTGTGGGATAAATCAGAAAGATTTGGAGCAGAAATTATGTCTTTTTTTTTTTTTTTTTTGGTAAAAGATCATGGTACTCTTTCCCTTATTGCTTGTAGAAAAATGAGAAAAATCTTCTTCTGGGGGCATATGGCTAAATGCAATTTTTTGTTTATCTAACTGAAAACTCCTGGGTCACAACTAATAGTAACTCATCAGCGTTTTCTTTGCTCAGTATTGCCGTGGATTTGCAATATATGGCCACATTTTCCTCAAAGTATCTCATTATACTGCTGGGATAATTCCTGTACTGTAAACCTTAAAAAACCCCATCTTTACTATTAGCATATTTTTCTCCCACTTGTGCTGAGTGATGGTCGAACTCTAGAGGAGCTCATGATTCCTGCATGCTGCCACATCAGCTAAGTTTGCTCATTGCCATTACAAAGAGTGATAGAGCAGATACCACAACCTCTAAACATCCATAAAGTTTTAATAGGACTTCCAGAACTTGATAGTGTGAGTTAACAGGGTGTTCAGACTGAAATGGAATTACATGTGGGGACATATATATATATATATATATATGGGGGGGTGTGCAAGTGGTCAGTCACTCAAGCATTCTGCTTTAATCTAACCCTTTGCATCTGATTTACTCCAATAAAATGAAAGTTAGAGGAGTATTTCCCCAGCCTCACAGAAGAGGGTGGTGTCAACAAGACATTAAGATACTCCTGCTTTCATTTCTGGGGCTTTCAGACATTAGGCATCTATTATGAATCAAAAAAGATGGCCATGTTCTGAGGAAATGGCACAAAAAACTAATACACAGCCTTAAACTTCTGCACAGAGCAATGCCATTAGGAGCATCTAATCTAATTGGGAAGATCATATTATCTGCAGTGATAAGATTCAGAAGTAAACTGGAAGCCAGGAATTTTCTTAGTTAAAAGCAACTTGGCATTTCCCACACACCACCCCCTCCCCTTCCTTTAGAGCAGCATTTCAGAAAGCGAGTCAGACAGTGCAGCTGGGGGGATGCAAAAATGTGCACGAGGGAAGTGTACAGGCATGGTGGGGCAAGACAGGGAAGCGCCTGGAAAACCATGCCAACTATTGAAACTTTGTGAACGAGGAGATTCTGCTGCCCTTCCACAAGCTGAACATCTTGTACAGGAGGATCTTAATTAAAAGTGCCGAAGAAATGGGGTGAAAATGACTTTATCTTTTTCTCTGATAATATTCAGGGCTAGAAATGGCAGAGTAACCTGCTCCGTGGGGTAGGCCAGACTCTGCAGCATTTATTCCTGGGGTGGGAGGGTTCAAGCAACGTGATTGAGAACTGCAGAAGTTAGTAATGGTAAATGGTAAATTTGGTAGAATGGCATGGTAAATTCCCTGGGGAAAAGAGAACTTGATGAGTGTGGGGTTCTGTATGTGTGTGTGCTGACACTGGTGTAGTGCTTGTAGGAAGGGACTTATTCACCTTTGAACATTCCTCCTGTGAGTGTTCATTCCCAGCAGGAATGACTTGGAGCTGCTGTGCCAGCTGGAAGGTAAAAACACAGGGCTGCTGCTGGACTCTGGCTCTGTGGTGTCTGAAGAGCAAACACCGATTTCTTCAGTTTGCCTCTCTCTACCTGAAACAACCCTTGCTTCCACTCTATGAATGGCCATGCTCTTTAAAATAAATAAATGTTGCTGACAGATGTTGTTTGGTATCAAAAGTGCTGCAAGAGAGCAGATCTGTAGGTCTTGGCTTCCTCACAGTACAATTACTCTTACTTTAAATAGTGCTTGTTTAATATGTACCCAAGCTTTCACTCTGTTATTTTAATACAGTAGTTCTGCTTAACTTTGCTAGATGGTAGCAAAGTAAAGCAAAGGATATGGAGTGGACTAAAGAACTGCAACAGCATCCTCTTTTCCCCCACACACAACTTCCCATGCTCTACCTTCCGGGATCTTTCATATATTTAGGCAGACAAGTTTCCCTTCAGAGACTGTGCATCTGTTTACATCGAGGGCACTCGCATGCAAACATGGCAAAGACTATCCCAAACTTTCATTTAATCCTTGGAATGCCAGGCTCTAGGCAGCTTTCTGAGGTGTACTCACTGTGCATAGGGTCAAGGCACATTGTGTAGGTATTTGTACCTGCTCTGCACTGCTTTCTAGTCTAGTCTGAGTACAGGCACTGTCTGTGTGGTTGTATGAATATACCCCCAGAAGTATAGGTTCAGAAGCTGAACAGTAGCTTACCTAGAGAAGAATTTCTCTTGTTAGCGTGCAGGAGAGAGACATCTGCTATTCAAAGCTCTTCACACGGCTCCAGGTAAACTAGGGAGAGTTTTCAGCTGATAGCAGCTGCCTGAGAGGCATCCCAGGAAGGCTCCTCTTGCTCCAGCCCCAGTAACTGAACTCTGCCGGCACAGTCACATCTCATTTATACACAGACTGTCCTTTTCAAAGCGAGCGGCCGGCTGGAATGATCCGAACCTCTGTTCAGCACACCGTCGAGAAGGCAGCTTTCTCCCTGGGCACGGGGATTACGGCGGGGAGCAGGCAGGCTCCGGCGGAAAGGCAGCGAGAACTGTTCGATCACCCCAAGCGCAGCCGCTCCCGTCAGCGCTGCCGGCGCTGCCGCTCGGCTCCCGTTCGCTGGAGTCAGCCTCCTCTCCCGCGTATCTCCGGGAGTATCGGGGCGGCTTCGCCGGGCTGTGATTGGCAGAAGCGGCCGATTCCTCCCGCTAATCAACCCGCAGACTTTCAAGGACTCGGAGCCGCTCTGATGTCATTCCAGCCGAAGGGGGGATGCTTCACGCGAGGACGCGGCGGTGGAGGCTAATTCGGAGATGAGCCGCATCCCTCTGCCACCGCCGTGATTGATTAGATGCTCCGCCACGATTTGCATAATCTGTCATTGTGCGGTTGGACCACCCCCCTCCTCCCGCCCGCCCAAAAATGCGGGAGGGAGAAGTGCCACTTCCAGCTTCTGATTTTACACCTGGAGCCTGCAAGAGAAAGCCTGGCAGAAAGGAAAAGTTGAGAGAGTCATTTTCCTGACTGGAGGAAGCTTGAGCCCCCAGTTGGCCCTCACCATCTCCAGATGCTAAAGGAGGCTCAACAAAATCACAGTGCTGGAAGACTTTTTGGTTCCTACTCTTGTTAGGTCATTGATAAGATCACCTGGCACAACAAAAGGTGGGTTTTAGTGTGTGACCAAAATCAAGCAGAGGTCACCCAGCAAGTGGGTTACAAATGATGTCCCTGATAGCAGCAAATATTCAGTGCTCAGAGTTGCAAAGTATTTTCCTACTCTACGTGACAGAAGTTCCACCTATTTGTTGCATAATTCCTTATTAAAATCCTTTAGCTCCTCCAGCTAGAGATGAAAACCTGCCTCCATAGCCAAGAAACATGATTGCTATGTGACTTTAAATTATATTACAGAGGTAAAGCTAAACACTTTCTATATTAAAAGAATTAGATTTTATTCCAATCTAATTTTCAATTTTTGCCAGCTTGACACCTTTCACTCCAAAACTGTTCTTTGTACAATACACCTTGGAATTGAAATTCAGCCAATTCAGTGCAGCAAATGTGAGGAGAAAATAGTTTTGTTCAAGGAGACTGGAACAAACCCATTCTGAGATGATGAATGACGCTGTAAACTCAGATTTGAATCATAGGAGGGTCAGCTCAACCTTTCGTGTTTCCAAGACAGTGTAAATAAATGGTGTTCCATGCAGTTTCCCATTTGCATCCTTCAGCTGGGACCTGCCACATGAAGAGCTGTTTGCTCTCTGTGAATATCCAAGTTTCAAAGATGGTAGATACTCCTAACTGGGGACTAATTGATTCCTTCCGGCTAAATTAGAAACTGAGGGAAAATTAAAATTCAAAGAATGTCTGAGTCATTTCCTGCAATTTCTAATTACAAAGCACTCACTGGGGGTCTTTTAAAAATGCCTTGTGCCTAGGGCTGGCTATGGATTTGGGATTTGTTTTCCAGAGGCTGTTGTGGCTGTTGGGTGTGAGGTTCCCACTGCAACTGAGTGGTGAGCAGGTGCCTCCTCGCATCCGGTGTGAACATTAGAGCTTCAATCAGGCTGTAAACTCAAATAGCCAAGTTGAGTTACAGGGTTTCTTCCCCCAAAAAAGGAAAACTTCTGGTGCAATTTGTCCCAAAACTGTGGTGGTGTGAAAAGAACAAGTCCGGTTGCTTTGCTGCTCTTTGTACTCACACACTTGGCTCGTGGCTGCAGTTGGATCAGGGGAATGGCTGTGCCAGGGTCTGCCCTTATGAGGAATGTGTGGAAATCAGTTGGCAGGATTGCTCCAGCTCTGTGGAACAGAGAGAACACACCAAGCCTTGGGAAAAAGTGCCATTTGAATTTTCACTTCTCTCTCCTTTGGGTAATAGAGAAAAATTGAACTCTTCTTGCTCGGTCACAAATGCACTTGAGTTACCTAGAATGTCCTTCTGATCATGATAGAATTCTCATGCTCTGCTTTAGGGAAAAATATGCGAGGAAGAAAACAGAACAGCAAGAAACAGAAATTCAGTATGGATGGAGAGAAACAGGAAAAGATAAATTCTAGCAATATAAATACTGTATTAATGAGGTATCACTTTTATGCTGAAATCTTTGCCACAGGATGTGTGTTTTTCTGGCTCTTACCTGCAGCACAGGTTTTGCATTAGCTGGTGGAAATTCTGTACCTGTTAGTCATTGTGTGATTTATTTCCCCCCCTGTATGGGTAGGCAATCACAAGAGCCTATTCTTCCTATACTGGTAGATCAAAAGTTAGAGGTGAAACTACCAATGCTTTGCCCAAACTAGTATTACCATTCTGAAACATGACTTTCTGGTTTTATAACTGCGGGTTTGGTGTTTCTTTTTTTGTTTGGCTTTGTAGAGGGTTTTTTATTTAGTTGGTTTTGGTTTTTTGCTGTTGTTGCTTTGTTTGGGTTGTGGAACTAAATGTTTCTATGTTCTGTCCAGATTTTCTTGGAGCTTACACACCTATCCCTACAATGTCTGCATCTTCACAGCACATTATGAGGTGGAAAAACACAATTCCTGCAGTTCTGTGCTTAGAAACATAGAATCATAGAAGCATTTAGGTTGGGAAAGACCTTTAAGGTTATAGAATCCAATTGTTAACCCAGCACTGCCAAGACCACCACTAAACCATGTTCCTAAATATGATCAATAGCAAGCAAATCCTTTCAGAAATTAGTACATGTAATATGTGATACCTCCCTGGTTCACTCTTCTAGACTATCTAAAAACTTTGGAGTGTTTGAACTGACATTCTGTTGGTCTCATGATGAGCTTTTGTGATCTCTGACTGCCCCCAGTCTTCTCACCTGTTATTTCAGTGCTCTGGTGACACTACAGTAGGTACCTCCCTACTTCTTCTCTCCAAAACCACCTCAAAGGACTTGAAAAATAAGTTCACTACAATCCACAGAACTGTCTCTTTCAGCTAAAGACACATTTTTGGTCTTTATGGAAAGAAAGATGGCTTTTGACACTGAACTTCATAATGAGTTGAAAAGAACAAAAAATGACTATTCCTGAAAAGACCAGCTTTTTCTTGAGCTTCTTATGAACTCGCCTGTAATTAAACAGCAGTGTCTTCTATTAAACACACAGAGCAGTGCCTCAGATGGTGTAAATTGTCAAAGCATTCGTTGATTGCAGAGGAACTATAGCAACTTATAAAAGTTATAGATTAGACTTAATTCTCCAGCAGCTCCTTGACATATGCAGAACTTAAATACTCACATCAAAATTAGAAAAAAACAAATAAAGGCATACCAGAATGTGGTTTGGGTTTTGTTACTGGGGTTTTTTTCTTGGCTTTTTTTGAGTATTCATATAATTCATTAAACAAAGTCTGTTTGGTTTTCTTGGTGTCTCAATAAGTTGTTGGGGTTTTTCATCTGAGTGTTTTGACTCTGACTCAAAACTTGTTAGAGGTTTTACGTACTCAGAAATGTAGGGATGAAATATAGATACACTTGGAGCCAGGTTTCATGCACCACAACTCAGTAAAGGCATTTGTGTCTTCTGCTGTGAGTGCCTGCCTTGTCACAGGCTATTCTTATTTCCCAGCTGACAGGGGGGAATATGCTGCTGGTAGTCCACTTAAGCATGAAGCACTGATTTGCAACACCATCAACAGCAAAAATGCTGTGCGTGGTCCTAAAGTAAAATAAAAAAAAAAAGGAGAAATGAACTAAATTCCCTGACTGCTGACTTTCTCCAGCTGCACAGTCTCTAATTCAGCTTCTATTATCCTCCCTTGTTTATAGCTGGACACACTTCTGGAGATGATAAAGGCAAATCAGTGCACACCAGCTCTGTAATGACCTTTATCTTTTATTCCTTTGTAAGATAACTTTGGTATCCTGCTGTGGCTTTGTTCCTGCAAGGCTTCAGATGTATTAGTTTCAGAAAGGGTGCTGATATAAACTAATGTTGAAATATCTGTTAAACCAACATACATTCATTAACATCCAGCATTAGAGCTGCTCCACATCTCTCTAATTACATTACTGTTTTATGTCTTAAGTGCTTACTCAACTATAAAAATATAAACTGTGTTCTTTCAAGGACTGTTACTGAGATACCATCAAAGCAAAAAGTGAGTTTGTGCTTGATCCGCAGCCTGATCTGTGTCACCACTTCCTGAGTGACACTGAGAACAAGGGTTCATGTTGTGTGAGAGAGAAGCATGTCTGTGTATCCATAAAGCCTTTGGGCTCTGTCCCACAATTTTCCTTACAGGATCCTTCCTGGCTTCAACTTTGGCCTGAAGTCAGCAGAAAGCTCCTGGGAAGTAAATGGGGGTAGGACTGGAGCTTAGAACGAGAAGAGCTTTTCCCCAGGCCACTTTGTTGTAGCAGGAGAGACTGAAGCACCAGAGAAGGTTTCTGTTGTGCTCAGTCCCTTTGTGATTTGTGTTTGTGCCTGTAACACCTGACAGTGTATGGGAGCTGTTTGGTCTGTTCTCATGATCACTCTTCTTGGGACCTCTTTGCTGATAAACAAGTCAATCTGTATTTGTAGATCCTTGCTAAAACTAAACTAAAAGCCAGGTGCAGGTCCAATGCACCAGAAAAACTTGCTGGTACCCCCACTGCACTCTGTCACAAATCTAGATCTAGACACTGCAGCCATGCTCCTATTTCCCCTTTCTGTGGAAGCATAAAGAATCATTTACTTTGTCTTTCCTGTGTTATGCTTCATCAGAGATCATCAGATGGTTTCTCTCATTCCCAGTATTCCAGACAGCAGCTGTTGTCATCCCACTGTGCACCTGCTGTGGTGCTGCTCTCCAGTTCCTGCTCACAGCCTGAGTTCAGGCCGGGGTAAATCAGTGCCATTGAAATGGTCACACATTCTGTACAGCAGTGCTTTACAGCACCTCGAGGAACTCCTTCCAAGCCTGGGCAGTACTCTGCCATTCCCCACATGAACTTTAGCAGAGCTACTTATGAGCTCCTGCTGATGTCTGGACAGCCCACCATGGTTTGTGCTGATTTGTGATTTCCATAAAATGGAACCATTACCCCTGTGTAATACCAGCATTGTTGTCATGTGTCAGCTGCTTATCTGAGCTTTGGTGGCTTTCTAAGTCAAGAGAGAACAGTGGAGTTTGTATCAGTGTAGCATATTTGTTTTCCTAGTGGTTAAGTCAGTACTGCAGGTACATGCCTTGAGGATCCAGTGGTTAACAGCTCATGCAAGAGAACAGTATGGACAGCGAAGCTGTAGCAGGGCTGGTAAGATGTGCAGAGGAAGGTGGGCTAAGATGTGCAGAGGAAGGTGGGCTGAGATGTGCAGAGGAAGGTGGGCT